CCTTCAAGACAGTCAGAGCAATACACTTCTCGGCCTCCTCCACCGGTATCGGGGGAAGATTGTGGCCATTGAGAAATCCTGACGTGAACCAGATCTGGCTCGCCGGACAGCCACCCCGCTCCAACATCTCATGAGCAGGATCATAGAGGGAGATCCGCTCGAACTGACTAGCCAAGTCAGCCTGATGGGCAGCCACCTCCTCAGCAGAAAAATGGTGGGACTGCTGGTCAGAAAAAAGCTGATCCATCAGCGTGTCAGCATGAGTTTGCTGATCAGGAGCAACCTGCTGCAACCTGTTCTACATCCCGAACAGGTTCAGGCTGCTCGGGGAGGAGGGGGGCGGATTGGGAGGATGTCCCCTGATCGGCCTTCCTCAACCTCTTTCTCTTTGTCTTCCTCTGCTGCTTGAGAGGAGAGGTTGGTGGCTCGTCATCGAATCCAACAGTGAAAAGCCGGCTGTCATCCATGGCCGGTTGTTCGGGATTGGCTCCTTCGGAATCTGAAGATTCGCCTTGCTTTAGAGCTGAAAAGATAACAAAGGAACAAATTAGTACCGAGCGGTTCACACGTGGATTTAAAAGTACTATCACACGGGAAGGACCGCCCGGGCCATGGTACTTGGTTTTCAGTCCCGGCCTTAATTAGCCGTTCGGGAGTCAGATAAGACATGATTTTGAAGCAGCCTCCTGCCTCCACAGCGATGACATCTTTGCTAAGCTCCTCAGAGATGAATGGCTCGGGGGATTTAGGAGGGAATGCGTTCCACTTCCTAGGAATCAAACCGTTCGGGACAGAGACAAAGAAAAACCTATCTTTCCAACCCTTAATGGAAGAAGGAGCCTCACAGAACAAAATGTGTCCTGGTCGGGAGCTTACCACCAGAAAACCGTGGGACTGCTGGGGGATAACCGAAAAGAAATAGTGGAAAAGCTCTAGAGTGGGTGTGACCTTGACACTGTGACAACGACAAATGAAACCAGCTATCGACCGGTAGGAGTTCGGCATTATTTGGGCTGGTACTACATTGTAAAAATTTAAAAGGGAGACAAAAAAGGGGTGAAGTGGGAATCTAAGACCGGCCTTGACTGAGTCGAAATGGACCACAACCATCCCTGGGAAGTGGCGCATTGGGTGAAGACCCGATTGAAGGCGGAAGTCCACCGAATCAGGAATTAGCATCTGAATTTGGGCCCGATTCTGGGCCGTGAGCTTTTGGCGCCTAAACCTAATAAGAGCTAGGTCAAGCTTATGACAGGAAACGCCGCTTGGAGGGCCGACTTCCATAACCTCCAATTCATCCCCCGATTTGGTGCCATCAGGATAAACATCGGAGGAAGAGGAATCATCACCGTTAACCTCCGTCGGAATACGGACAACTTGCAGCGTATCATTGGGGTTTTCTTCTGGAATTACAGTGCCGGAGGTAGAGAGTTCAGATGAACGAAGGGGTGCCATTCTCACCGAACGAGGGAACTAAACAGTAGAAGGGAACTCGAAGGATACCTGAACAGAAGCTGCGGATGAAGCTCTAGAGAGAAGGATGAATTATAAGCCGGAGATGCAAAGGTTCGAAACCCAGAATCAAAACCAGAAGAGCCTATTTATACTCTGTCACGCCGATTCAGCTGCCAGTCAGAAGAGGACACGTTTTTTGTAATGATGACAAAGACACGTGTCGCACAGAGAATCCTTCTCAAGTAATCATGACGTTTATCGGAGAAACGAAACGGCAGTTGCAAATAACCGTCAAAACATACCTCGGGAACCGGCGGAATGCCATCCGATACTCACCCGAACAGCATTCGGGCAATAATCTTCTACTTCCTTATGCGCTCACTACCGTTCGAGACATAGGAAGTGGGGGACTAGTGTTGGGATATTGGGTCCAGGCCCAATATCCCTAGGCCCAAATCCGGGAAGAAGCAGCAAGCCCAAATATCAACGCCCAATATTCCTACTCCCGAACGGCATTCGGGATAAAACTTATACTTGGAACATTCTGGGTAACGATTATGCCAAGGTATCAAGGCCCAAATATCGATCGGCGTTCGGGATACTTCAGGTAGAAATTATCACCTATGGCGGGGTCCCACACACCGAACACCTTGCCTGAACGGGCAGTCAGCAAGTGGAGGCCGCATTTAATGCTGGATCATGACAGCTGCAAGTGGGGGCATGAGTGCTTACATGGCAGAGGTGATAGCCTACCAGATTCGACCACGTGTCCACCTTACCCATCCCCATCTTAGTATAAATATCCATGTTTAGATCATTGTAAAGGGTTAGCATTTTAATACTCAGAGCTTAGCAATAGATTTACATCTTCCATCCTTGTAATCTCATATTCATCTACCGTTCGGGTAGTTCTAGTGTAATCACATATTTATTGAATACCAGTAAGCTTCTGAGTTGAATATCTCACTGTTTTATATTTTATACACATTTTAATCCAACCCAATATCCCTACAATATCCAAGGCTTGTGTTGGGCTTTCGGATCTTCGGGAATAAACCTCAACACTAAAAATAGGTAAAAAAAAAACAATTTTTATTATTATCATCTCTGTTGTTGCTTTTTGTTTCTTTTTGTTAATAACTTTAAAAGTTTTGTTTTTTTTATAGTTTATTCATGTTTCTAGTTGTTGCTAACATTCATAAACCTAAATTTATCATATTAGGTGTTTATACACACATGACACATATGAATTTTTTATTTAAAACACCTAAATGAATAACAAAAATTAAAATCAATAATAAACAACAATAAGCAACACAATTCAACAAGTTACAAAAAAAGCAACATTACACAACAAAAAACAACACCAGGGATGCAACTAAAAGAAACAAAAATATATATACAAGTATCATAACATATTCATAATTTCTCGTATGATATCAATTTATTACATATAACTATGTATAACTTCCCTTTGATTCTTTTCATTTAGCTTTGGAATTAAGAGTTGTTGACTCCTTTGCAGAATAGCACAACACACTCCTTTGCAGAATACCTTAATTGTTTGTGGGGAGTCACAAATTTCTCAAAAGTCGTTGTTGCAGTGTATGAGGCGGAGAATGGTGAAAATTTCCCAAATTTTCCATTGATTGAAATATCAATCATTCAAAAAATTGTTGAATGAATGCCCTGCAGAGTGCAGATTCTAGTCTCATTAGCAACATACAAAGCATTTTTTTGTCTCAAAAAATTAAAGTAGTTCTTTCAAGGATTAGAAACACAAAATATAAAATAGAAGTTGCAAATACTTGAAATAAATCCTAGCACTAGAAAGCAGGATCTCAACCTGGCAGCAAGCTAAAACAAGGTTTCTTCAAAGTTTCTTCAAAGGTTTGACATCTTCTTTGAACTTTGAGGCTTGGAAGAAGAAGAGGCACAACACAACATAGCCACTCTGAAATAGCAAAATGATAAGTAAAGCTAAAGTAATTTTAACGACAAAATCAAAATCTTGAACTGTTTTTTAGGCAATAAAATCAACTAAGCTAGAGGGATCAGAGAGAGAGGGGGAGACGGATGTGTCTTACTTGAATCAGGGACCGGGGAGGCTTATTGAACAAATTGAGAATCCGAGCATAACTCGGCGGTGAGTTTGATCTAAAACTGAAATAGAAAAAAAAAAATTGAAAACAAGAAAAGTTAAAAATGAAAAGGGAGAATTTGACTTTACACCCCATGTTTTAGGTGATATTTGAGTTTGCGCCCTATTTCCAAAATGATTAATGTATGCACCCCAATCCCCTATAAACCCATTTGACTTTGCACCTCATTCCTTCTCAATTTTTGGATTGACGGGGTGCATACATTAAAGATTTTAAAAATAGGGTGGAAAGTCAAATATCACCTAAAACATGAGGTGCTAGTCAAATTCTCCCTTCTTCTTATGATCTTTTTCCTTCTTTTAATGGTTGCTCGATCATGCATGTCGTTGGGTATATTACATATTGTCGCCGTTCATCATGCTAGTCTGTCAACTATGCATATGATGCGTTATTTCCCTGATGTGAAGCAACCACCTTTTTCATTATTTTGTTACTTTTACTTTTAATTGCAAATGAAACATGGGCGCAGTTGATCTTGTTAGGAATAATGCCATGGCATGGGTTGTTGCATCAATACAGATCAGATGACTTTATAGCTTTGAAAATTTGCAACTTTAATCATTACCATGGATTAGCAACTCCCTTTTTCAATACTTTCTTGACAAAATGACACATATACCCTCACTATGCATGCAAGAATGGCAATGCATGGGCGGACCTAGAAGACCGACCCCCACTTCAAAGTTCAAAAATTTTGGTTATTAGTACTTCTCAATTTCTCATATATGCCTCACTATCCTACACATGCACCATCTCTCGTCATGCACAATGTCATTTCTGGTTTGCTAACACTCAAAATCGGTTGAATAGATTGATTCTACTCAAATTTATGAAGTTCTAGCTGAAGTGACTGTATTGATTGATTCTACTGATTTATGAAAAAATCATACTCCGTATTTAAAATATATTATACCGATAGTATTAATTAAATAAAAAAAATTATTGAATAGATAGCTAAAATGATTTTCTATAGTAACTTCAACCAATACAGCCGGAAAAACAATTTCAATCTTACTTTTTCTTATTATTACACAATTCAGGGGCGCGAAATCAAAAGTAACGTGTTTCGTTAAAAAATTGGTTGATAAGTCTGATAAACTGAAAAACAGATCGATTCACCAAATGGGCTCTTAAATGAGTTCTAGATAATTAATGATTTGATATATATGTAACATATTATAAACTTCACGTAGGCACGTAGCTACTAAGTGAATAAGATGTTACTTTTAAAATTTGAGAATATTCTATCAAATTTTACTCATTTAAAGCTTAGATGTAGTTGTTGATTTACCAAGAGTCTTAAATTTTGTCTTCTAATGAGTTAGAGGAGTTATAATGCATTAAATCGAGATATTTCAATGCTCTAACTTTCAAAGGGCCTTGCCCTTGCTCCTGCCCTTGCCCCTGCCCTTGATCGTGCCTAATGTCCATACCCATTACTTCTATATTTATATGCTTCGTGCATGTTTTCCTGCTGAGTAATCAATCAATAAGCCTGTTTCTATTTATCTACAGGCTACAATGGCAATTATTACTAATAATAGTGTTTGGGTATTTCTTGTAGTCGTTTTTTGTGTTTTGCTTGACTTTTCCAAGTCATCGGAGATTCACCTGAGAGTTGACCAATCTGGAAAGGGAGATCACCGGAATATACAAGATGCCATTGACTCGGTGCCGTCGAATAACTCGCGGCATGTGCTTATATCGGTTTGTCCCGGAGTTTACCGAGAAAAAGTTGTGGTTCCGGCCGATAAGCCCTTCATAACTTTGACCGGGAGAAAAGGGAGTGACACCTTAATTACGTGGGACGATTATGGGGATATATTTACGTCTCCCACTTTCACTATTTTTGCTTCTGATTTCACAGCTCGATATCTCACTGTTCAGGTAATTAAATGATTAAAACTTCTGTTGTTGACAATTTACAATTTACAATAACTAATAAAATGAAACTTCATGTTAATATTTTTTTGTAACTGCGAGGCTTATATTGATAAGAAAACACTCAGCAAGGAAGAATCATGATAAAGTAAGCACTTCCGATCACCAATCCTCGAACCAGCTGGAGAATCAATCACCTTATAAAAAGCAATATGATTCGTTGATACTATCATGGGTCTACATGAGCCAAACGTGGCCAGAGTAGCAACCTCATCACCCCCACTAAATGTAATAGTCTGAACAAACAAAATCACAGTAACTGAAAGGAAAACATACTGAGAGCAGAAAGAAAGTTAAAAAATAAACATAACGCAAGGAAATTATAAAGCATCCTGTAGCCAAGAAACGAGCACCAGCACCCGTTTCCACCTGAAATCCTCTTCAAGCAACTCGGCGGGTCGAGGCGTCTGAACCCGCCCCCTCCCCGTTTTTTGGGTCCAAGATCGACCATAGTCTCCCTCACTTCTCCTGTTTCGCCAGCCTCTTCCCAGGTCCGCCTGCGCTTTGGCTCGCCACTCTTGTCCTCCATGGCTGCTGCCTCCGCTTTCCCCCCTCTGCACTTTGTGTTGCTGGCTGAAAGAGTATCCCAATCTTTCTTGCCCTGCCCCGAACTGCCTCCCTCCTCTCAGGCTGCCCTACCATCCTCCCTAGGTCCTTCTGAGACGATCCACTTATTTCCCCCATCCATCCATGTTTCCCCCCTCCTCCAGCTCGTAAACCTACCCCATACGGCCTAATATGGTACGCAAAATCTTTCTCATAAATTAGGGGACAAAACCTGTCAGAATGTCCTATAACACCGCAGGAAAATCAGAAACTAGGCAGCTTCTCATATTTAAAATTAACTAAGCGTGGTTCCAACTTTTAGGGGTTTTCCCACGTCCAAGCAAGCCATAACCCTCATATATGGCTTCCACTTTTTGTCAAACTGAGGCTTTTCCCAGCTAACAAACTTTCCAACAAAATTACCAATCCTCCTAGCCACACCCAAATTCATAAAATCATAAGGAATGTCATGAACTTGGACCCAAAATTCGGCCTCATTCAGAGGAACTCAGAGTGGGACATCCCCGGGCTGCAGTGCCCGGAGAACTAGCAAATTCTGTTCAAATATCCATGGTCCATCTTCAAGCACACGTTTCATGTCTATAAGGTGATAAAAAAAATAAACATATACCTTTTGCCATCTATTTCCTTGATGGAGATACCCCTACCCGGCCTCCAAAGTGAAGCCATGAGATTACGAAGCGCCGAGAATTTCACCATCTTGTCGGTGATCACAGTCCCTACCACCAGATACACCTCCTGTTTGCCCGAGCCTTCCTCCTCTTCATGTATCTTCTCCTCAAAGACTAGTTCTTCTTCCTGATTCCCAATAACCATGTCCTTGCATTTATTTGCGATCTCCTCCATCTTCCTATCAAAAAGTGGGCGACACAATCTGCCACCTGCACTTAAAATCTAAAGCCGAGACCAATAGCTGCTTCAACCAAAAATGAAAGAAAATCAGTATGAACAAACCCCAAACCAGAGTCTTCCTCAGCCGATCACCAAAGCCAAGCCAAACGATCTCTCCCTCCACGATCAAGAAGGAAGATTGGCGCTGAAAAACCCAACCCTAATTACCTAGGGAGACGTCCGCAGTCATATTAAATGGTCCTCTTGTAGTTTCTCTCTTTGAGATGTCTCATGTTAATTATTGTTTATCCCGTAATTTTAATTGGGGATTAACAAAAAACTGATAAATAGAAATCAACTGACATATCAATTAAAATGAATTGATCGACCAAAACAAATGCTTATAAACCCGAAATCAATAAAAAACTGATTGATTTTATTGGCATCAGTTAAACTTGATTTGAGAAAATTCCTTATATATGATTAAAACATAAACAAAGTGCACATATAAGACTATCATTGTTTTCTTCCTAAAATAGGACTTCTAATAGGAAAAATTTTTAACTTTTAATAGATCAAATAAGTCTCATTTCAAGAATAAAATAGAAAGAATGACCTGTATATTACCAATAGACTATTCAATTTAAAAAATATGACCTTTTTTCTATTTTCCAAAAATATGACCATTATTAAAACACGTCTAAAAAACATATCTCGAGAGAACAAGACATCTTCGTTGCATCGATCCGCCACCCCCGTTCCAGCACACCTCATTTGCAACATCCATTCCAGCGCAGATGGCCATCTGCTTTGCATCATCTGTTCAGAAGTGGAATCGATCGACCGCGCCTTGCATCATCGACATTCTTCTCCTTCGCCTCAACTCTCTTCTTTTGCTCATTTCTTCTCCTCCGTTGTTTGCCTTACCTGCAACCACCATCATTCACCTTCTCCACCGCCCTTGCTACAACTGAATCGTCAGCATTGTTCGTTAGTCTCATCGATCTCATTTGCAATTTTCGGTCTGGTGGTGGTTGGGGTTGCTGGGGCTAGCTGCTGCGAGTTGCAGAAGGGATGGGGCGAGGCAGGGTGGTGGTTGTTGGGGCTGATGCGAGTTGCAGAAGGCTGTGCGGGTCTGTGCGGGGCTGGGGCGCTTGGGCAGGTAGGTTGAGGATGGGGGAGCAAGGGATGGATACGATTTGGTGGGCTAGGGAGGGGCTGGTGGGTTGGAGAGGGGGTTGGTGGGTTGGGGAAGAGCTGGGGAGGGGGCTGGGTGGGTTGTGAGGGGCTGGGGAGCGGGCTGGTTGGTTGGGGAGGGGGATGGTGGGTTGGGGAGGGGCCTGATGGGCTAGGGAGGAGCCGGTGTGGTCACAGACTCACAGTTAGGGCAGCGGCTGTCATTGGCGGTTTATCGGCCGTGGTGTCAGTGACAGCGTTTCATTGAGCGGAAATGATCACAGTGACATATTATATTCCAGCGATAGTGACATCCGTATGACCGTAAGTGACAATAAAATCTAATAGTGACATCCGTAAGTGACATTGAAATCTGAAAGTTACAATTTATAGTGGCACGAAAAAATTGTAGCGACATAAAAAATTTGCAGTTACATCATGAGTTTCCAAATATATGACATTGTTAGTCACATTTTTGTCCATATTTAAAAGTGGTCACATTTTTGGAAATCGGCTTTAATTTAATACTCCCTCTATCCCATTTTACATGTCCTACTTTCCTTTTTTATTTGTTCCAAAATAAGTGCCTCCCTTCCTTTTTTGGTAAGAAATAGGTGGCTATACTATTTCACTTTATTATGTTCAAACCTCAACCACAACTTTTACTTTTTCAACCATTTTATTAATAATCGTGTCATGTTAAGATCTGAGGTTTCATGCTAAAAGGTCAACTTGATAGAAGGAGTAGCTAAAATCTTAATATAGTGTGTAATTCTTTCAGAGATATCCGGTGTGGAAATTTAACATGTCAAGTCTAAATGAGACACATAAAATGGGACGTAATATTTAGGGGAAACCCCCAATAAAATACATACTCTGATAATTCTATTTGTGCATTTTGGTTAAATTTTAGATCGAATTAGAACAATTTTTAATTTGGTTCCCGGTTTAAGATTTACCATGAATAACTAATCGAACTGATCAAAATCAACTATTAGAGTATGGACGATGGATTCACATCATATCACAACTGACACATACATACCGATAAAAAACCAAAATTACTAATTCCATTCACGGTTTTAATTTATATTTCTTGAAATTGAACCAATTAAAACCAAACTAATTAACATCGACCCCTTCTTTTAATATATTATCGAATGTACTTAGCAGATTTAATTCTGTAGCTATTTAAAATTGTTCACAACAAGAGCTCTTTTACTATAATTGTTAAATATTGGTGTTAAGTTAGACAAACGCATGTTATGAAAATTTGCTACGAAAAGATTATTAATGTGAATAATACTTTTATTTATAGGATTTGATATGAGTAAATTTCTTGATTTAATTATCATTTGTTTTCTTTTATTTTTAAATATATTTTCAATTAAAAAAAGTAAAAAATGAATACAGAATACACATGGTCCTGGAGCGAAAGCAGTGGCGATGAGGGTTGCAGCGGACAGAGTTGCATTGTTTGGGTGTACAATTTTATCGTATCAAGACACTTTGCTTGATGACAGGGGGAGACACTATTATAAGAATTGTTATATCCAAGGTGATACTGACTTCATTTGTGGAAATGCCACTTCTCTATTCGTGGTAATTCATACGGAGTATACCTTAATCTTTATTTACACACACACAAACATAAATATAATAATATACCTCATCCATAGCAAAACGCAGGAGGAATGGAATGAGGTAAATGGCGATTGGTTCTTCCTCAATTGAACCGTCTTGAAATCTTAATCTCTCTTCCGATGGGGAAAATTAAAGGGAAGAGAATGTTGGTTGTTCAATATATTGGGGACCATAGCCTTTATATAGAGTGTTGGTCAAACTAAGACTCTCATTAAACTCTAACAAGTAACACAGGTCGGGAGGCCCATTTATTTGACCCATACAATTATATTAATAGTCTATTGGGCTTAGATAATATTGACCACATAAATAAAATCCAATTATGATAAATAGCTAATACAATAATTATAATATTAGCCCATATTAACTACTCCATCCGTTCTTTAATAAAAGTCCTTCTTTCCTTTTTGAGACGTTTTTTTTATTTGTCCTTCTTTCCATTTAAGGAAAGTTTTTACTTTAAATATACCTTTATACCCCCACTTTTATTACCATTACCCCTTTCTCTTTCCTACTTTTTCATTTATCCACTACTCATTACACCTTTTACACTACTCCTACTATTTTCCTCTTAAAACCCGTGCCAAAGCCTAAGAGGACAGATAATAAAGAACGGAGGGAGTATTGGAATAAAATATTCCAATCGATCCATAACAAAATAATGTTTTCTTTTATCTAGAAACCATTTACACCATTATACCAAAAAAAGCAGACATGATATACAAATATTTTATCTAGTAACAACATTTGGAAAGTAATACGAATATACAAATATTGTACTGTATCACTCTACATGATATTTACAACCTTATGATAAAGGTAGCAATCATATTAATTTAAATGATACTCGTATGTTTCAAAGAAAAGCTTATTATCATGTAACCATATATTACTAAATATAAAATGTAGTTTCTGAGATAAAACGATGATTAAAATTACAACCACTGATATATACTTTTTCTAATGTAATCAAATATCACAAAATCTTTGCGTAATATTTAAATTATATTCGAGCAACCATAACAAATAACTAATTATTATTTTCATCACCATTATTATTAGTATTATAAAATATGACTATAAACCGCTAAAGTAGAATAAGTAAAACATACCTTATTTGTGCATTGATATATTATTGAAATTGCATCTCCCTACACTAAAATTAATCATATGGTCTACAAAAATATAAGTATTAATGACACAATTTGAAACCGGCCTATTGTTCTTTTACACAATGAACAAGTCTGCTAGCATGACTTAAGAAAGTAACAATTTATAAACGGATATTTATATATGCAAGAAGCTATTAGCTACTACAAAAGAAACACGGGATTTGCACAAATTTTTCACAGGGTTGCACAAATTTATAAAGGATTTTGTAGGAATATATATTAAATCCGTATCAAAAATATTTTGACGCAAACTGTTTGACATGAAATTAGTGATCAATCATGTCAAATCCATGTCAATCCGCAATATTTGTAATGAGCTAGGTATGATCGAGATATTAATCAATTTTATATATTTGTAGAAGTGTCACTTGCATTCACTATCCAACGGAAATGGGGCTATTACGGCCCAGCGAAGGGGTTCAGCTTCCGAGAAAACGGGGTTTTCCTTTGTGGGATGCAAGATAACGGGCTCTAAAAGTGCCTTTCTTGGGAGACCGTGGGGTGCTTATTCTAGAGTTGTATTTGCCCTAACCCACATGTCCAATGTTGTTGTACCTCAAGGATGGGATAATTGGAATGATCCTTCCAGACAAAGGTACGTAGTGATAAGAATAAATATAAAGACTAGTTGCAGCAGATAAACCAAACTGTCTCTCATTGAAAATGAACTAGCAGTGGCTTTAAATAGCCTTACAAAGAAACTGAAATGCTGAAATAAAGCTAGTTTCCCACAATACCAGGAAACGTGATTACAAGCAAAGGAATAGGAAAGGCACGAACAAACTACACCCACTTCCTAATAATTATGAACTTATTAAGACTGATTCAAAATAACTAACAAAACCTTCCCCGGCCCTAAACTAAACATGTCGATCAGCTACATGTTAGTTTAATTCAGGACTTCGCCTGACACCAAGCTCTTTTCGGAGTTTCTCAAATTGATCAAGCTTCAATGGTTTGGTCATGATGTCGGCTAGCTGTTCATTACTCCCACAATGCTCCATCTTGATTAACCCGTCATTTATAAGATCTCTAAGAAAATGGAATCTGATATCAATGTGTTTAGTTCTTCCATGGAACACTGGATTTTTAGCAAGTTTGATAGTAGAAGAATTGTCACAGAGAATCTTTACTGAATCATCTTGAATGCCTGTAAGTTGTTTCAGAAGTCGTTGCATCCAGACACATTGGCAGGCACATGAAGTGGCAGCAACATACTCCGCCTCTGTGGTTGACAAGGTTACCACATGTTGCTTTTTAGACGCCCAAGCCACAGCTCCTCTACTTAACAAAAACACATATCCTGAAGTGCTCTTCCGATCATCTATATCACCAGCATAGTCACTGTCAGTGTATGCCATCATTTCAGTTGTACAACCTTTTTCATAGAAAATACCAAAATCAACAGTGGACTGAACGTATCTCAGGATTCTTTTTGCTGCTAGCATGTGTGCTTCTTTTGGATTTTCCATGAATCTACTCAACAGACAAACAGAATACATCAAATCAGGTCTTGTGATTGTTATGTATAAAAGACTCCCAATAATCTGTTTGAACAAGGTTCCATCAGCATTGTTTCCTTCCTCTTTCGACAGCTTGATTCCAGGAACTATTGGATTCTTAACTCCATTGCAGCTGCCCATTCCAAACCTTTTAAGAATATTACTAGCATATTTCTTTTGGCTGATGAAGATTCCACCGATGTCCTGTTTTACTTCCACACCCAGAAAATACTTCATCTCTCCAAGATCAGTCATCTCAAACTCATTTTTCATCGAAGCTTTGAAATTTTGCAACATTAAAAGATCATTACTTGTAAAAATAAGATCATCAACGTAGAGACTTACAATCAAAATCTTGCAGTTCTCAAGCTTCTTGATGAATAGAGTATGGTCACAACAGCTCTTTTCAAATCCTTCTTTGATGAAATACCCTTCAATTCTGCTGAACCATGCCCTTGGAGCTTGCTTCAAGCCGTAGAGAGCCTTTTCAAGTTTATAGACCTTGTTTTCCTCTCCTTTTACTTCATATCCTGGTGGCTGGAATACATACACATCCTCACTTATTTTCCCGTGCAGAAATGCACTTTTGACGTCAAGCTGAAATACTTTCCAGTGATTTCTTGCTGCTACAGCCAGCAAAGTTCAAATGGTATCCCATCTGGCTACTGGAGCAAATACTTCAGTGTAATCTATCCCCTTTTCTTGAGCATAGCCTTTTGCAACTAGTCTTGCCTTGCATTTGTCAACTTCTCCATTCTCCTTTAACTTAGTTCGGTAGACCCACTTAACTCCTATCACCTTCACTCCAGGGGGAGCACTCACTAGTCTCCATGTGTTATTTCTTTCAATTGCTTCAATTTCAAGATCCATTGCTTCCCTCCATTTTCTTGATTTCACTGCTTGTTCATAAGACAATGGATCATCAGTAGATATAAAAAGAACAAGATTTTGTTGTACCTCATCTTCTGAGAGCCCTTCTCCACTGGTGTAGTCTTCTAAGTAAGCTGGAGTTCTTCTTCTTCGAGCTCGTGGTTCAGAAGTGTTTTCATCTACTGATGTATCACTAAGGCCGGTGTTTCCATCTGCATCTCCTTCATTTGAGAGAGTTTCATCAGTTTCACTTTCATTTTCTTCCCCTTGATTGTAAGTTTCTTCATAAGCTTCACCCCAATCAAGAATATCATGCTCATGTCCTTTCATCGTGTGTGCCCAGTTCCAGCTTTCTTGCTCTTCAAAAATCACATCTCTGCTGATTGTTACCTTGTTAGTACAAGGATCAATCAACTTGTATCCTTTGGACTCATCACTATATCCAATCAACACTTGCTTTTGGCTCTTTACATCCAGCTTCTTTCTTTTTGCATCAGGTATGTGAACATTTCCAATGCATCCAAAGATCCTGAAATAGTCAACATTAGGTTTATGCCCACTCCAACATTCTTCTGGAGTTTTGTTTTCCAGTGAAGCAGCGGGACTTCGGTTCAAGATATGACAGGTCCATTTCACAGCATCTGGCCAGAACATATGGGGCATCTTCTTTTCTTCAAGCAAACATCTCACCATGTTGAGAATGGTTCGATTTTTACGCTCTGCAACTCCGTTCTGCTGAGGTGTATAGGCAGTGGTTAGCTGTCTCTTAATCCCTTGTGAAGTGCAAAAATCTAAGAATTCTTTTGAGTTGAATTCCCCACCTCTATCAGTCCGTAGGCTGCACACAGAAAAGCCACACTCCTTTTCCACCATCATTTTGAATTTTTTGAAAAATGTCAATGCTTCGCTCTTTTCATTTAGAAAGTACACCCATAACTTTCAACTGAAATCATCTATGAAAGTTAACAAGTACCTTTTGTTACTAAAAGATGCAGGTGAAATTGGACCACAAATATCTGAGTGAATAAGTTGAAGTTGCCTTGTAGCTCTCCACTTGCTCTTCTTTGGTATCACCTTTCTGTTTTGTTTTCCTCGCATACAGCTTGTGCATTGTTTTTCTGGTGCTTTGATATCCGGAAGCCCCCGAACCATCTCCTTATTATGTAGCAGTATCAAGCTCTTGTAGCTCAGATGCCCATAGCGTTTATGCCATATTTCACTCTTTTCTTCGGTGTGTGCACTAAAGCATGAGAATGGCATGATAACGCTTGCAATGACTACAAACATCCTGTTAGCAGTCATGATACTTTTCATTATGAGTCCACGAGTTGGATGATACAGCTTACATGCTCCATGTTTGATTAGTATGGTGATGCCACGGTCCTGTAGCTGACCAATACTAAGCAAATTATTGCGTAGTTCAGGTATGAAATACACATCACTTACCACTTGCACCTGCCCTTCAAATTCTAACTTTATACTGCCCTTCCCCATGACCATCAATTTGGAATCATTCCCAAGCTTTACAGAGTGTCTAAATCCTTCATCAAGATGAGTGAACCACTCTTTGTTTCCAGACATATGATTTGAGCAGCCTGAGTCAAGGAACCAAATACCTTCTTTCCGGCTTTGCTTGAGATCTGCATATGCCATTAAAAGCATCTCATCATCATCATTTATTTCAGCATAGTGAGCTCTCCTCTCCCAGCTAGGGCATTCATATTGAAAGTGTCCCAGATTATGACACTTGTAGCACTCCACAGTTGACTTATCAAAGGGCTGCCTTCCTCTGCCTCTTCCTCGCCCCCTTGTTGCGCCTCTTCCTGGTAACCCTCTGCCTCTTGCCCCTCGAGTTTCATAAGTGACTTTCAAAGCCTGCTCTTCTTCTATAGGACCTATCATTCTCTGCTCATGAAGTAGGAGACTGCTTTGGAGTTGATCCACAGTGAGAGTCTCCACGTTGTTTGATTCCTCAATAGAACATACCACATAATTAAATCTAGGGGCCAGGGAGCGAAGAATCTTGGCTGCAATGTCAGCCTCCTTGATTCTTTCTCCACATGTTTTCATCTTCTTGGCAATAGAGAGTGTTCTTCCAAAATATGCGTTCACGGTTTCCCCTTCCTTCATTTTTAGAGTTTCAAACTCAGCCTTTAGGGTTTGAAGTTGTGCTCTCCTGACTCTTGTTGATCCCTCAAACTTCTGCTTCATGGAGTCCCAGATCTGTTTGGACGTGTCATCATTGAAAATCATTTCCATGATTTCTCTATCTATGGCTTGATAGAGGTAGTTCTTCACCCTTTTATCTTTCAATTGCTGATCTGCAATGGCCCTAGCTTCTGCTCCTGATGGCTCTCTCCCATCTGGAATCTCAGCGATTCCATCTTCCACTAGGCTCCAGTATTCCTTTGCTCTAAGGAAATTCTCCATCAACTTAGCCCAATGTTCATAATAACCATCAAATTTTGGAATGGCAGGTTGCACAAAGTTGCTACTTTCCGCCATTTTTCTTTCTCCTCTCGTATTTCACTCAAGAAATCCTCGTTCTTCTTTAATCAGGCCCCTGTGAAGAGGCTCTGATACCAATTGATAAGAATAAATATAAAGACTAGTTGCAGCAGATAAACCAAACTGTCTCTCATTGAAAATGAACTAGCAGTGGCTTTAAATAGCCTTACAAAGAAACTGAAATGCTGAAATAAAGCTAGTTTCCCACAATACCAGGAAACGTGATTACAAGCAAAGGAATAGGAAAGGCACGAACAAACTACACCCACTTCCTAATAATTAGGAACTTATTAAGACTGATTCAAAATAACTAACACGTAGGAAGGTAAGTAGGTTACACCATTCGATTTCGATTCTTGTACATGTCAACGTGAAATTTATGAGAATTTGGCTCAAGCTGTTAAATTGACTGAATCTGAAAATTATGGATAATATGTTCAAAATATATTTTATTAGTAAAATAAAGAAAAATATCTATGGAGAATAATTAATATGGTTATTTAGATCAATATCAATCAAATCAGTGAGAATAGTAACTTCAAACATACTTATTTTCATTATTCCATAATTTAGCTTGTCAAATCAAAGTTACGTTTTCAAATTCCAAAATAGGACTATCCTTTTTTATTTTCTGAATAGGAGTAAATTTCTGCCAAGTTTGGCATTACCAAGCTTTAAACATGACATTTTTTTAACTTGGCATATTACTCCTATTCAAGTACTCCTATTCAAGGAATAAAAAACTTAATACTCCTATTTTGGAATTTCAAAACGTTTTTACTCCTATTTAAGACAATTTCTGTAAGAGTTATCAAACGCGCTCTAAAATACATTAAATGTAATCATGCCGTCGTATTTGAAGTTGTGCAATTTACTATAGTTGACTCATGAATGAATATGAACATCCTATGAGAAACAACAATGAAGTTATTGGAGTACATACATACAAATCAAAATTGTATCATTCATACGATATCTGATCATCTCTGTGTGACCGGAATGCACTCATACAGTCATACTACCCTACTTTCGGCATACAAATTCAACATTAATTACATCATTTATAATTGTGTCATTTCCTCAGTTTTAATCGTAGCGAAACAGAGGAAATATATATATTTTGATGATTTAATTGTCTTAAAACAAATTGAATATCTCACGATGAAATTACTAGCTAGTTGATGTATAATAAAAATTAAACCAGATGGTCAAAATCAAAATTGGTCCGACCATATTATTTTCTCATATTATAAGCATCTAACTTGAATTGTACTCGATTATATACGGATTATGTAACTTTTTGGTTGTAAATAATATAATTACTGCAGGACAGTGTATTATGGGGAATACAAGTGTTATGGGGCTGGTGCAAAGAGAAGAAAGAGAGTGGATTGGTCACGTAGCCTGTCTAATGAAGAAGCGGCACCCTACTTAACGATCGACATGATCGGTGGCAAAAGCTGGATTAGAATGCTGGCCACCACACGTTTCAAATGCTCCACTAACTAAGTACTTATTCCACATGTACTCCAAATAAAAGCACCATGCTTATGGTCCATCCCAATGTTTGAAATGAACATGTGGTGAATTTATTTATACTATTTTCAAATAAAAGTTATTTAGGATTTCTTTAACTGAATTGATTTTTTTTTGTCTAGTTTAACCTAGTTTGGTCGGGTCTAAATTGATTTGATTTGATAAATGTCTAGTGTGTGTTGTGATATTGTGTTTGGGTGTATCCTAACTCCTGACTCAAGTATATTAAATAGAGAAATGTTCGGTGTACCCCAATTTATGTACTCATTCGCACACACTGTCTGTCTATGCAGACAATGTGCGAATGGAGTACAAAAAATGGGATACCCCTAGCATTTCTCTATTAAAGGAGTAAGACCTAAATAAGTGGGCCTGTTGTTTTAGTTGTACGGTGTGTGAGTGACGGTACGTTCGCTAAACTTTAATAGCCCGTTTGGTAGCATGAAAATCGGCTATTTTGGCTGATTCTGCTGAAATTTATGAAGTTCTGGCTGAAGTGGCTGCATTGGTTGATTCTGTTGATTTAAGAAAAAAATATATTATAAATATATTATATTAATAAAATAAAGAAAAAATTATATGTAAAAATAGCTAAAATGGTCATCTACAGTAACTTCGGCCAATTCAGCCAGAAAAGCAAAAATTATGTGTTTGATGAAAAAGTTGGCTGATAAGCCTGATAAGCCGAAAAACAGTAGCTCCAAACGGCCTCTAAATCTGAATTCATTTGTAAAAGTATGGTTTTGGTTGTTTGAAGTAGGTCTTTTATATTTGCACAAGGATTAATGAATTCTGGCATTCAGACAGATAATAGATAATAAAAATAATTTAATTATCAAAGTATCAACGCAAAAGACATTTTGGTTGAATATTTGGAATGATAACAAGATTCCTTAAACCGCCTTGATTTAATTTTGACATTTGAATGTTGGCGGGAAAAGGTGCAAATAGGCCCATGTACTAACCAAAAAGGTCAAATAAGCCCTTATTTAGGAGGTTCTGTCCGGCCGTCGCCATTTGGGGTGGTTCCCGATGGAATTTTTTGATGAATTTTTTTGAGCATCTTATTCATTAAGTCTGCTTTACTCATACCAAATTTCAGCTAAAACTTTAATTGGGAAGGCATTCAAATCAATTCTTGAAAATAACTGCGCAGTTAGAAGCGCAGTTATCTTCAAGAATTCATTTGAATGGCTTCCCGATTGAAGTTTTACCTGAAATTTGGTATGAGTTAACTAGACTTGATGAATAAGATGCTCAAACAATTTCATCAAAAAATTCCACCGGGAACCACCCCAAATAACGACGGCCGGACAGAGCCTCCTAAATAAGGGCTTATTTAACCTTTTTTGGTTAGTACATGGACCTATTTACACCTTTTCCCAATGTTGGCGGATAGGGTCTAGGTGTTTCTCTCAAAGAAAAAGATGGCAACCTGGCAGGTGGATTAGAGATATTAAGATGTTTTGACTTTGGATTTAGAGATATTACCCAAAATAGGACTAAAAAGGTTTGAAAATTACAAAATAGGACTTCCATGTTTTTATTCCTAAAATATGACTAATTACTGTCATGTTTTGGCAGTACCAGACTTCAAACATGGCAGTATTTTGCAAACTTGGCAGTAATTACTCCTATTTTGGGAATGAAAAAAAATAACAGTCCTATTTTGGAATTTTCAAACTGTTTTAGTTCTATTTCGAGAACTTTCCCTTAGATTTATTACAAAGGACTAAAGGAGTAGAATCATAGACATAGGGTGTTTGGAACTGATTCTGAATCTGCTTCTTTTTTTTAAGAAGAAGCAGAATCAGAATCATTTTTCAGAAGCTGGTCACCCCAGCTTCTAAAAAACTGATTCTAGGAATAAATTAGAACACCAGAATCACTTCTGCACTTTCAGCCAAACACCCCAGCTTCTGATTCTGCTCTTTCAAGGAGCAGAATCAGTTAAGAATCAGATCCAAACACCCTCATAGTAGTAAGTATCTTTTTACTTGGACTGTTTTCAGTTCTAGAATAGACTAGACCAGACCAGATGAGTCCAGATCAAATCAGACCAGACTTGGACAGTTATAAAATATACAAGAACCAGGAAATTTCAGTCCAAGTAAAAACATCATAATTCATATAATGTCATTCCTAAATAAGAGCAAATTACTGCAATGCTGAATCATTTTGACGTACTTTCAAATTACCAGAAATTAACATGATAGAATTAATGTTATAATCAACAATATTTTCTTATACTAGTATAACATTGTTTCCGTAAAATAAATTGAACTCGCTCTGTTGCACACAGGATAACGCATATGAAAAAGTGAAAAAGCATTTCACCTCCCAAGAGTTCCTACAGTTTGTAGAAAGCTTAAATTGATAAATTTAAAACAGCAGAAACACTTGCCATCGTTCTAAAAACAAGTGAAACTTTGACATCATTCGTATAGAAATGAGAAAACAAAGTGGTAACATTATTATAAACCTCTATATTTGATACTGTGCTTCAAATTGAATAAAATATGGATACAAGTCAAGTTCGTTATACATAACAAAATTAGATCATCTTGTCCATTCCCATCAAAACTTTATGGAGTATATTTTTTTTGCTTCATCTGTAATAGAGATGTTCAAAATAACGTCTATTTCACCATATCTCCACTATATATATTTTGATGGGGGTATTTTGATGGGGGTTAATTTTTCCACGGCCCTTTGTCTGACCCCAAACAACCCCCTTCCTCTGCACAGTTACATCTACCTCCGAACAACTCCGGCAACTCCCTGAAAACCCAATGACTCAAACTGCTTAGAAGTCAAAGTCTTCCAATTACCCAGCATTTGTAAAGTTATTTAAACAATAATTACCCTTCATCGATGACTTCAAGCAATTTGCGTTGGTAACAGCTGCCTAGAACCTACAGAATTTGAATTTGAACAAAAGTAAATGAACATGATCTCGGGAAAAATATTCAGGGTCTCAGAAAACTCTCTAAGACCATGTTTGCTACGATGAGGAAAATAAACGTCTAATATAATGTTTGTCTTACACAAAAGAAAACAAAAGATTATCATGAAAAATTATTTTTCGCTCAAGTATAACGCTAAGCTTACATTGCGGATATTGCAAGTAATAATAGATAAAAAGAACAGAGGAAATTATTTTTATGCTCAGATTTACCTTGAAAAATATGCAGGAAAATCAAATCGGGTTAAAAGTTTTAAATTTTTTACGTATATTTTTATCTCTTACTCCGTAGTTTTTATCTACAAGATGTATACTCTCATCGCTATTAGTTGTTTAGTCTAATGTGTGTTAACCAAGATTGAGATGGAAATAGTAGAGGTAATTCACTTAATACAAGGAGTGAAGGAGAGAGATGATGTAAGAGTAGAAATAGTCGAAAATGTAAGAAACGGATGATGAAAATTAAGAATACTTATGTGTCGTAGTATAAAAGATAGGATAAAACTTTCTAAATTAGGAAATTGAGCGAAAAATAAGTAACATTCCAATCTAATTTCTTTCATATTTTCTATCACTATAATTTTCTTGGTTCCAAATGGTTCTGAAGAATCAAGGAAAGTAGTTTCCTTCTGGTGCAAATTTCAAGGGAAATAATTTCATGTGCCAAAAAAAGGAAAATCAGAAAACATTTTACAAGAAAATATAATAAAACACTTTAAAGTAAAGAATGGGAGCCTAAAACATACATGAATCTTGGAAGTGGTCTCAGGGTCAAGAAAAGGCTTGAGGACATTCCAAACGAGCCTAAATCCAGGACCAGCATTTAATATGAACATTTGGCCAAGTGTCTGCAAAGCATTTCCACTCAGGGATTATCAAATATGATGACTATGATTACACCTAAAGAAACGTGAATGTATTATGAGTTTATCAAAATAGTGAGAGCAGAAACATACTTCTGGATAAATGTCATTATCTATCTTCTGCAATCGCATAATAACTTCTCGAACAGGTTTGGATAAATTTGTCATCGCCTGCATATAAAAAAACATAGAGTTGATGTAATTTACTCAAATATGAGTTTGAATATGAGAATGAGTCATAGAAGAAGTGTAATGTACCACTCCTTCAACATCTAAAATTGTAAGGCTTTTATCTATGCGTCTTTTTGCAGCTTTGGAGCAGGCAGGAAACCGAATGTGTAAAGACTTTTCAAACTCCTGGACATGGTATCGTATGTACCTGTCCAGGGTAGTCACATCTAAGACCTTGTCCAGCTTTATTTTTCCTATTCTTTCAATATATATTGGTCGCCCTAGCTTATCTACACCATGATAGCCCTGAGGATAGTATTGCAGCACTTCATTTCTTTCTGGGAAGACAAAATCCTGAGGGGAACACAAGAATCAGAAGAGCAGGAATCAAGATCAGTTCCTATATAAGCATGCCATATACACAATAGATTAACTAAGAGCCTATTTGGCTAGGGGATATTGGAGAGGAAGGGGGTTGGTTTTGTTTTACTAATTTATCTCTATTTTCCTCATCAACTCTTTCCCCTAACATCTAATGTAAAAATAAATTAATAAAAAAAAATGACCCCTCCCCTCTTTTTTCCTTAGAAGTCCTACAACCAAAGGGCTAAATGCCAAGACTACCTCTATAATAGTGTCTGCCCCAAAATCTCTCCTCCATTGAAGCATGTCCTGCCACATTTTCTTTGCTTTCTCAAGGTCAAACTTTCTAGCTTTCAAAAATCTGTTGAGATTCGAAGTGCAAATATATTCTTTCAGCATGCTATGAATGAATCGCTATATATCATTATGGAAGTAATGGTGTAAATATCTCAGATGTTTTTATCACCTCAACAGTAGATGATAATCATCATGCCTTGCAGGAAGTAGACCTTCAATGGACAGAACTTCCCGAAAAGCACTTACGGCTTCCACCATTTTGGCTTCCCCGCCATCGTCTAAGGCAGAATAATCACTTCTTGACCTGCTTTTATTCTTAATAAAGGAATTCCTGAATTTATATGATTTGCTCTTCAATGTCCCAGTTCCACTCTTCCTTTCCTCCTCTGGGTTTTTGAAATCAGACCCGTTCTCACTTCCTCCATGACTACCATGTGAACCTTCAATACCTGAAAATTGACAGAGAGCATTTTATGAAAATGCACTTGCTACCTAGGAAACATTCATATCAGACAACATGTAGATCATGTGATCCTGTTTCAAATTACGGGCAGTAGAGTTTGAGTGGTTTCAAATTCAATTGACAGACTCAAAAACAGAAGGAAACCCTAAAACACCATATATCAGCCCAAATTCTGACATCCATTTTTTGAGAATCATCAAATACGGAGCAGTAGAAGCACTAAGTAGTCGAAAAGGAAAAGGCTTTAAAACCACGATGGACAAAATCGCCATAGCCATTGCCATAGCCCAAGAATTGAGCAAAATCGCCATAACTGTAATCCCAAATCATGTAGTAGCGCGGATTCATTAAAAAATCAAGCTAACTTTAGTAAAGCACCGCCCGCAAATTCTCAGCTAGAGCATCAAATCGGATAGCGACAGCCCAGACAGCAACACATAAACCATAATTCAGTGTTGCAGTATGTAAATTACATGTATATGAACTTACTCAGTTTCTGAAATCGGTCGATCGCATTTGACATTGCCATTCGGATTCCAAATAAAAGATCAAAGCCGCGTTGCCGATGATTGAGCTTCCAACAAAACTTTACTCTGCAGTCACCAACCGGATCGTGATGTTTACAATTTTTTCTCAGAGCTGAAAAGAAAGGCAGAATCTTTCGTTCACGGCAATGGCTGTGTGAAGAAGGTACGGAAAGTGGGAGCAGGCGGTGAGAGATTGAGCTTTGGGTGAGGCGGTTAAGTAATGGTCTTCTTTTTCAAGGAAAATAGCGGTTGGATGCGCCAGTAACTCCGGGCCCAGTTTGGATTGACTTTGCTCGAGCGCCCTCACCGAATGTCTGGGTGTTCTTTGGCGGGAATATGTTCCTACGAGTTCGTAGGGCGGGTCATGGGCACCACTGTATCAGCCTATCAGGGCATGGGTTTGTCTGATTGACCGTAATCCCGGGATGTTTACTTTGTATCTCATCTGGTTTGGTCTGGTCTGTTTAAGTTTGATCTGGTCTGAATTGATCTGGTCAGGTAAATGTGTGGTTACTTTGTATTTTATAATTGTCCAGATCCGATCTGGTCTGGTCTAGTTTGATTTTTTTTAAATTTGGTTTGGTCTGATTTGTTTAAGTTTGATCTGGTCTGATCTTTTTAAGTCTGGTCTGTCTGATCCGAGAATGAAAACATCCCAAAAGAAAACGTCCTTAATTGTCATCCTCAATTCCACCCAAAACATGAAATCGTCCATCACTTGATCCGACAAAATGACAGACGAGTAGATCATGGTATGTCTCAAAGAGTTTATGAGTGAGATATGTTTGAGGTCTATTATTGCTCATAGAGAGTGAGTCATGAATTGAATTTGAGACCTAGATTGAACAACCTCATTCGGTACCATTGAGCTATTCGTGCGGGTCATTAATTGTCATTCCGGTTTCACTTTGTGATGCTTATTACTCCGTATAATTGAAAATAAAAATAAAATTTCCCCAATAATATTTAAATTAACATGAATATTTGAAGGTGACATATTTTGTTACTAGATTAAAGTACGAGGAATATTGAATTTCAAATCTGATATGCCCATTTAAGACTTAAGAGTGATCGTTTTCTACTTGTGATGGTAGAGATTATGCTTTGGTTTGGGAGCACCATTTGATTTTAACCGTTGGTTCAGTATTTTAATATGAGTTCTTTCATTTAAAAATACAACTAGAAAAAACTTGTGGCAACTACTGGGCATTTTCCCTTCACCTTTCCTCTAGGTCTTTGGCACAAGAAAGAAAAAGGAGAGTTGAAAATTGTGAAAGGACATTTACCACAAAATTCAAAAAGTAAATACCAACAAAGTAGGAATATCTTTATGAAAAACCCTTAATAAGTAAGACTAATGAAAAAACAGATAACATTTTTTTGGAAAAATTCATCCGAATGTTGATACTTAAACAGATGAGTCCGGGTTGAACTGGGGCGAAAAATCTGCTGAAATGTTGTTTTCGGACCTAGGCACGATCGTGCGTCCCAGGGGAGGCACGATCGTGCATGGCTGCCAGTAGCTCATCGCCTTCAACCATATTTCAGGGGTAAGTCGCCCAACCGTTGGGCGACTTATAAGTCGCCAAACCGTTTGGCGACTTATAAGTCGCCCAACGGTTGGGCGACTTACCCCTGACCATGGTTAAGGCCCAGCAGTATATTGGTGAATACTTTTTTTCCAGCATTATTTTCGTAATTAATTAATTAATTAACATTAAATCGAAAAAAAACTTGTGATAATTGTATAACTTTTGTTCAGTCAATATATGATAGCACGCAAAGATGTAACTACAAAAGTACAAAATGTACTATAAATTCAGTACATTTTCATAAGTAATTGTTACTAGTTTTGAAAATGTTTTTCTTAAAATATTGTTAAAATTAAATTTAGATATATAAAAGTGATTAAAATGACTATAAATGTGCTTTTATCATTTTATAATAATAAGTACTCTATAGCATAAAATTTGAACATAATAATCATTGTTTCTCACGTTATTAGGTTGCATTTAATCCACTATCCTGATTTTGGTTAAGTCAAAACGCAACTAAAAGTTAAGTCTTTGTTTCAGATTCCAACCTATTTAGAGGCCGTTTGGAACCACAAAAATTGACTGTTTTGGCTGATTCTGTTGAAATTTTGAAGTTCTGGCTGAAGTGGTTGCATTGGCTGATTCATCTGCTGATTTAAGAAAAAAATTATTTTTAAAATATAATTTATTAATAAGATAAAGAAAAAATTATATGTAAAAATAGTTAAAATGGTATCTACAGTAACTTTAGCCAATACAGCCAGAAAAGTAACTTCAACCTTATTTTTTCTACTTATTATACAATTCAGCGCGCGAAAACAAAAATTACGTGTTCGGTGAAAAAGTTGGTTGATAAGCTTGATAAGCCGAAAACTGGTGTTGCCAAACGGCCTCTTAATTTCTAGGTATTACTTTCGAGTTTCGAGGAAGGACAGAATTGATGCAGCTTCTGGTTGCTAGTTTGCTACCAGGCGCGCTAAAATCAGCTAGGGGAACGGAGATAAGGACAACACAATGATTTGAATTAAAAGAGTAGTTTTGGGTACACCTAAACAAATGAATTAGTTGAAATATGTGGCTGAAACTTTTACACACAATTTGTTACGGAGTATTTTATAATGTAAGGACCGTTTATTTCCGTCTCCGGCTCAGGTCTCCAACCTTCTACACTAAACTCACACACACCACTCTAGACTAGGCCACTCCATCTCCCATGTTTACTCACTCTTCTTCACTCCACTAAGGAACTCTCACACAAAGGGAAAGGAAGAAGGAAGACACTGCACAAGGAGTATTCTTCTCGCAGGCTTATCTCACAAAGAAGGAAAGGAGCTGACTTTATAATAGGCAGTCAGCCTATTGAGAAGTCACGGGCATAACAACAGGACACTCACGGGTGTAGCCAAGACAACAACAGCTCACGGGTATAAGCAAGGCAAAAAATAAGGAGCAGCGGACAGAGGTGGGGTATACTCCAAATAAGTCAACATGCCACCAATGAGTGATTTCAACTCAGGGAATCAAAGTGGGAGTAAACATGGGGTGCAAGCCTAAATAATAAAGTGGCAGGGAGGCCTTGGTAGGACCAATACCTCCAACATTCTCCACCTTATTGGTCCTAAGTGGTGTAGAGTAGCAAAACAGGTTGTGAGGAGACTCATCATCGCCGGGTCACCCGGAATATCAACAGACACAACGGGCAAACACTTTATTAGGCAACCCACAGTTATCCACAATCAAAGTTTAACACGCGTTTACAGGACAAGTGCTTCTCAGCAGAAAGACACTTGGTACCCATATCCGCGGGGTTAAACTCGGACGGGATCTTGCACAGCTTGACTCCACCTGCATCAACAATATCACGTATGAAATGGAACCTAACATCAATATGCTTAGTTCTATCATGAAATACAGGATTTTTGCAAAGTTGGATAGCCGATTGGCTATCCGAGAAAATGGTAACTCCCTTTTTGAGAAACCCAATTTCGGAGACAAGGCGTTTGAGCCAGATGGCTTCCTTAAACGCTTCTGTGGCTGCAACATACTCGGACTCAGTGGTAGAAAGGGCCACAATAGGCTGTAGTTGAGACTTCCAACTAATGCAAGAGCCACACAAAGTAAAAACATAAGAAGTGGTCGACTTCCTGTTATCTCTATCATTTGCATAGTTAGAATCAACATAACCAATCAATTCAATACCACTAGCACATTTAGAGAAAATTAATCCATGCTTCACAGTAGAAATCAGATATCTAAGCAACCACTTAAGAGCATTCCAATGAGGCAAACCAGGGTTGGACATATATCTACTCAAGCAACTAACCGCATATGCAATATCAGGTCTAGTGCTAACCATAAGATACATCACCGACCCTATTGCGCTGGAATAAGGCACAGATTTCATTTTCTCAATTTCAGGAGCAGTCTTGGGAGACTGGTCCTTACTTAACACAAAGTGAGATGCCATAGGGACATTAACAGGAGAAGCAGAAAACATATTAAATTTACTCAAAACTTTTTCTATGTAAGAAATCTGATTCAAAGTAAGAGTACGCTTACTCCTATCCCTAACAATGTTTATGCCTAGGATCCTCTTGGCATCACCTAGGTCTTTCATGGCAAAATTCGCACAAAGACATTTCTGCACATCTTTAATAGCATTCAGAGAAGGACTAATTATCAGCATGTCATCCACATAGAGTAACAAAAATACAGGCACAGAAGAAGTATTTTTGAAATACAGGCAATGATCACAAACAGATTTCTGGAACTTCAAAGATATCATGCATTTATCAAATTTGATGTTCCACTGCCTAGGGGATTGCTTCAGGCCATACAAAGCCTTCCTAAGCAAACAGACATGCTCACTTCTCTTGGGATCCACAAAGCCCTCGGGCTGGGTCATATAAATTGTTTTATCCAATTCACCATGCAAAAATGCAGTAGTTACATCCATCTGTTTCATTTCCCAGTCATGGTGAGCAACTAAAGCAAGCATCATACGAATAGTGGTGAATTTAACAACAGGAGCAAAGATTTCTGCATAATCTACCCCCTCTTTTTGAGTAAACCCCTTTGCAACCAACCTAGCCTTAAACCTAACATCACTAGGTTCTTCCTTAACCTTAAACAACCACTTACACTCAACTACAGAACAGTTGGGGGGTCTAGGTACAAGGGTCCAAGTCTGGTTCACTCTCAAAGAGTCCATCTCACTTTTCATGGCACTAATCCATTTCTGAGACTCTTTGGAACCTAAGGCTTCACGGTAGGTCTTGGGTTCATTCAGCTCTAGGGACTCAAACACAGAAAATGCAAACATAGAAGTATCATGCACAATGAAAGCATAATCAGGCATACTATCAGCAGTTCTCCTGATAGCCCTTCTACTCCTATCTCTAGCAAGTTGATAATCATGCAAATTATCACTACTAGGCTCCACATGCAACTCATGCAAATTATTGTTATCATGAAAATCAGATTCAGCACCCATATCATGCAAATCATGCTCAGTATCATGCAAATGCTCCACCTCACTCGAGGTGGTGGGACTATCATGCTCAGAGGAATCAGAATCATGCATAACAATATCATCAGAAATAACAGGATCAACAGATAAAGGACCAGCAGCAACAGGGACAGACTCCACCTCACTAGGAGTACTATCAGACCTAGACTCAGGATCAGAAACAGACTTGGTCAAGCAAGGAAAATCAGTTTCATTAAACACCACATTTCTGCTAAGGACCACTTTAAAGCCTACCTGGTTCCTATCCCATAACCTGTAACCCTTTACCCCCTCTGGATAACCTAGGAAGACACACTTCTTAGACCTAGGATCCAACTTGTCACCCTGTTGATGTGCATATGCTGCACAACCAAACACCCGAAGGTTAGACAGATCAAGAGGCTTACCGGTAAAGACGGCTTCAGGACACTTACCACCAAGAGGGATAGACGGGGACCTATTAACCAAATAGGCAGCAGTAGTGACTGCTTCACCCCAGAATTTCTTAGACAAACCAGAGGTAGCTAACATGCTTCTAACCTTATCCAACAGAGACCTATTCATTCTCTCTGCTATCCCATTCTGTTGGGGAGTATAAGGCACAGTTTTGTGCCTTTTTATCCCACAATCCACACACAACTTATCCATCTCCTTATTACAGAACTCTAACCCATTATCGGTCCTAAGGGTCTTAACCTTCCTGCCAGTTTGGTTTTCAACTAGGGTTTTCCACTCCCTAAACCTCACAAACACATCTGACTTGTGTTCTAAAAGGCAAACCCACACCTTCCTAGAGAAGTCATCAATAATGGAAAGGAAATATTTCCTACCCCCGTGGGTAGGAACACTGGCAGGACCCCAAACATCGGCATGAACATATTCAAGCACAGACGAACACTTAGACAGATTAGGGTAAGAGGAAGGAGGGAAACTGACTCTATGCTGCTTGCCTAACACACATGATTCACAGAAAGGCACAGAAGTCACAGAGTCCTTACCAAAATAACCAGCCCTACGCATGACATCTAAACCCTTATTGCTCATATGTCCTAGCCTATTATGCCACAAAGAGGTCTTATCAGAACATACAACATTCACAGACTCAGCAAAAGGTTTAGCATGACACACATAAAGGTTATTCACCTTCTCAGCTTTAAACATAACAAGCGAGTTTTTCAGGATTTTCATACAACCATTCCCCCATTTTCCCTGTAACCCACTACTCTCCAAAGCAGCAACAGATAACAAGTTATGACACAAATCAGGGACATGCCTCACATTCTTAATGGTAAACACAGAGCCACAAGAAAATTTCAGACATATATCACCAACACCAAGCACATTGCATCTCTTATTATCAGCTAAGGAAACGTAGCCACTATCACACAATTCATATGTAGAAAACAAATCTCTAAAGGGGGACATGTGATAGGTACAACCAGAGTCAATCAACCATTCATGCTCAGACAGGGAATTTCTCACAGAATTAACATGGTCACAAACCATCAAAATATCACCAAGATCACATTTATCAACAGCTACACTAGCATGCTCGGTCTTCTTAGGGTGGGGGCAATCCTTAATGAAATGGCCAGCGTTACCACAATTGTAACACACTCTCTTCCTAGATTTACTCCTCTTCCTCCCAGGCTGACTAGCGTTCTTACCCTGACTATTTTGCTTAGGATTCTTAGACCTACCCTTAGATCTACCCCTAACAAACATAGCCTCACTGGAGTCCCTGGACTGACTAGCACTACCCCTAGCATGCTTTAGGTCTAATTCCTTACTCCTTAACCCATTCACCACAATGTCTAATGAAATCTCATCCCTACCGTACTTAATAGCGGACTTAACATCATTATAAGAGTCGGGAATGGCATTAAGTAATACTATGGGAGTGTAATCATCTATGTGTTTATCACCTGCCTGTTTGATGTTCTGTATCAGTTTATTAAACACATCCAGGTTCTCATCTATATCCTTAGTCAGGTCAAGCCTAAACCTAAAGAATTTCTCTAGTAAGAACAACTTCCCGGGCAAAGAGGTATCAGTATAGAGACTATCCAATTTCTCCCACAACTCCTTAGCGGACTCAAGAATACCCACTTTCCTAAGCACAGAATCAGACAGATTCAAGTAAATAGTAGAACAAGCAGTTTCGTTCATTTCAATTTGCTTAGCCTTATCTTCTGATTCAAGGAAAATACCAGTGACAGCTCTGAAAACTTTTTGCTGTATTAAAACACATTTTATTTTCTGTTTCCAAATATCAAAATCTGTTTTTCCATTAAATGGGAGCATACCATACTGATTCGCAGCCATGGTATCAACCACAAAGGGAACACAAAGCTAAACAGACAGAAATGACAGAAAATAATCCAACCCGGGTTATAAAGTATTCACTTTAATAACCCCGGGCAGCATGCAACACATAGCAAAAAATGGACATTTTGGCAATTAAACAATTCCGGGCAGAAAAATTAAATTAATTAATTCTACCCCTACCACCCAATAAACCACCCCTACGCATAACAATTAAATTAAATGACACAAAGTAATTTAATTAATTAGCTAAAACAAACTACCACAAAGGAGTGAGTTTAGAACGTACCTGGGGGGTTGGCGGCCGGGATTAAATCAACCGGCGGCCCGCGGGGAGGGGGAATAAATTAAATTAAATTAAAACCGAAATATAACAAATATGAAGTTTACCGAAAACTTACCTTCGCGAAACCCTAGGAGAGCGTTTCGACCTTACCTACCCAATTTTTTAAAAATTGGGATTTTTCTGGAGGGGTTGACCGGCGTTGACCGGCGTTGACCGGCGGCGGTTGACCGGCAGTTGACTGGTTCCAGCTCCAGCAGTCCAACAAGTCAGCATCAGCTCCAATTCAGTCCAGCTAATCTCAGCTCCCAGCTCAGCCCAACAGCTCAAAGGGCCCAATGGCCCAGAGCCTCAACAAACTGCCTCCTGCAGTCCAGAAGCCGGGCTTTCCAACAGTACAACCCAGCGGCCCAAATAATCAGCCCAGCAGCCCCTGGTCAAAGCTGCTTCCTTTCTACGCGAGAATGTCCAGTGCTGTTTGCGGACCAGCAAAGGACGAAGACCGGCGATTGACCCAGGCGACCGACGGCTTCAGCGGGGGTTCGCGTCTGCTCCGGCGACGGACAGAGAACTCCGGCGGCGACTCCTCCGCTGACAAGCGGCGGGCTTCCAGGTGGCGAGACGTTCTGCGGTGACGAGGTTCTGGGCGACTTCGACGGCGGACCTCCTGGCGAGTACCTCCCTGCGAACTTGCGCAGGCGAGCTTCCAGGCGGACGGTGGCTTCAGCTTCGAACTTCGACGGTCAACAGTGATCTGGAACAAGATTCGCCGGATAACCAGAAGCTACGGCACCAAGCGAGACTTCAGGGGGCGAATCGGACGGCGGCGGACGGCGGCGGACGGCGGCGGCGGACGGCGGCAGACGGCGAACCAGTCTCTGATACCACTGTAAGGACCGTTTATTTCCGTCTCCGGCTCAGGTCTCCAACCTTCTACACTAAACTCACACACACCACTCTAGACTAGGCCACTCCATCTCCCATGTTTACTCACTCTTCTTCACTCCACTAAGGAACTCTCACACAAAGGGAAAGGAAGAAGGAAGACACTGCACAAGGAGTATTCTTCTCGCAGGCTTATCTCACAAAGAAGGAAAGGAGCTGACTTTATAATAGGCAGTCAGCCTATTGAGAAGTCACGGGCATAACAACAGGACACTCACGGGTGTAGCCAAGACAACAACAGCTCACGGGTATAAGCAAGGCAAAAAATAAGGAGCAGCGGACAGAGGTGGGGTATACTCCAAATAAGTCAACATGCCACCAATGAGTGATTTCAACTCAGGGAATCAAAGTGGGAGTAAACATGGGGTGCAAGCCTAAATAATAAAGTGGCAGGGAGGCCTTGGTAGGACCAATACCTCCAACATATAAAAAAGAAAATTGTTACCCGCATCATCGTACAAGTAGCTCAATTGCTTGAATAATGAGAAAGTTGCAAAATTCATCAAGGATCGAAGCCTGTAACGGCCGCGTGAAGGTTGCTGGAACCAGTAGTTTAATTAGGGAAATCATATTTTCATTGATCTCTATTAACAATTACAAGGATATTTATACTAGTAGATATACAAAATTACAAACTAAAGCCCTCGGCCCAATGGTAAAGCTATACAACTATACTAGGGCCCAAACAGTGTTAACACCCCCCTCAAGTTGGAGCATGCGGATAAAAAATGCCCAACTGGTCAAGTAAGTAGGAAAATTGTTTCTGGCCCAAAGCTTTGGTGAAGATGTCAGCAAGCTGATCAGTAGTGGAAACGTGACGAGCAATAGTTAATCCGTCTTGAAGAACATCACGAACATAGTAACAATCTACCTCAATATGCTTAGTGCGTTCATGAAAAGCGGGATTATGAGCAATATGAAGAGCTGATTTGCTGTCACAAAATAGAGACATGGGGCGTGTATGAACAACTCCAAGGGTGAAGAGAAGACCCTTAATCCATTTTAATTCCAAAGTCAAAGTAGCTATAGAGCGATACATGGCTTCAGTAGAGATCGCCGGGTGAGTGGACAGCTGGCCCAGTCAGAATCGCACCATCCATGTAGAGATAAATCACACGTGGTATGAAAGAGAATACCCTGACACGAGTTCCCCTTTAGGTAACGAACCACACGTAAAGCCGCTGCCCAATGCTCTTGTCGTGGAGCTTGCATAAAATGTGATAAAATGTGGACAACACAAGCCAAATCCGGACGAGTAAATGAGAGATAAACCAGCCTTCCAACTAGTCGTTGATAAGCTTCGGGGTCAGATAAGAGGGAACCCGTAGCAAGAGATAAAGCGTGATTGGGCTCCATAGGGATAAGAGCCGGTTTAACGCCAAGAAGACCAGTCTCAGAAATAATGTCCAACGCATATTTGCACTGGCAGAGAAATAATCCCTTTGGCCCACGTGCCACTTCTATGCCAGGAAAATATTAGAGAAGACCCAGACCCTTCATGTGGAATCATGAGAGTAAACAGGATTTAAATTTAGATAAGGAAGCAGAATCATTACCATAGACAAGAACATGTAATTAAACATGATCCTGGCGGAAAGTAAATAATGAGTATTCGGAGTATGACTGAGTAAACCCTATTAACGTAAAGAAGTAACCAATTTAGAGAATCAACATGAGGAGCTTGGTGTAGGCCATAAAAAGATTTTGTCAAACGACAAACTAGCCCAGACCG